ATACTCCCATCAGAGCTATAGAGTGTTATTGATAAAGTGTTTTAACTCTACTTGTTTATTTGAGCTATTAAGCCCCCTTATACCCCAGAAACTTATCATGATAAGAAAGGGTAGTGTCCCATATAGGGACCTTCCATCAAGGACTTATGTATCTGAATACCATAAGCCTTCTCATACTCCTGATCTTCCAAATATAACTTCCTATTGGCTTTCTTCTTGCTGACCTCTGTGAACTCCCCTTCCACTTTTGCATTACCCAAAGGCCTGATCAACAAATGTTGCCTTGTCTTCTTCTTCTTTTTGCACCATTTCCTTTTCCTCATCTTTTGTTTCTTCTTCTTTCCTAGGATTATTCTTTCTTTTTCATATCATTTTCTTCCTTTCACCTGTTTTCTTCCTGCATAAATTCTATGGATGCCCTATTGCTTTATAGTGATTGCAAGAAATAGAGTACCACTCATACTTCGCTACCTGTGATATGATCCTTCCTTTATCATCTTCAAACTGGACTTTTTCTGGAAAATGTTGCTTCACACCAACCTCTATCTGTATTCTAGCATAGTTCAATTTGGTTTTCCCAATTGTGGTTTTATCAGCTCTTATAGGGTTACCTATGAGAGTACCAATCTTGCTTAAACCGGAGATACTCCAAAACCTGGGATTTAGATTTGGCAGTTGGATCCATATAGGGATATCAGTAAGAGCATCCAGGTCCACCCTACTGCCTGGCTGCCAAATACTAAAAAATAAAAAGTTCTTAGAAAATAGAAAATAAAAAACAAATACTACTGAGTTGCCATACTTATCATCGCGTGGCACGCCGCCATCGTGTCGTTGTGGTACTTCAGCTCCAACTTTGACATCCTCGACGTATCCATATTCATGAGCTTGCTTGAGGTTGTTGCAATGAAGAACCAAACTCATGCTCTCTAGGTTAGCATTCTTTTTTGTCTAATGCTAGATTTGCGTGTGGAGTGACATATTAGGAACCATTGTCTTGGCCTTCCCATTCACCTTTTTTTACCGCCTTTGTCCCAATTGGACAACTTGAAACGCTAGGTTCGTTGCCCGATCCAAGCGGGAAGTCATCCCTATGGCGTTAAGGTCTATGGAATGTCCCCGCCGCTCGTTGAGTACGAACCAGTCTCCCATATTTTGGAATGCTTCGGTCTCGATCATCTCCTAATGCTAAATTTGGGGCTCTTCTGCATAATGTTCTAGATGTTTTGGAACTTGAAAAACCTTCTTCTCCGCTTCACACTAAAAGTCCAACGTCTTTGACATAATGTCTTCAGCGGTGGACCCAAGCTACCAAATTTTTGGGCTACCGGGTGCACACGCCCCCAGTATTTTAGAAGCATCTCCCCATCACGTACGAGCATCCAGTCAGGCCTCCCAGGATTGTACTTCGCCGCAACATGCCCTGAATACATTTTGGATTTTTGGTAGTTGCTGGTGATGGCGTCCTCACACACGTCAACGTAGTACTTTGCTAATGTCAGCCTTTCAGCTGGAGTATACTTCTTCAGTCTGTCATTCTTTTTGGCCTTCCCTTTGCTAATATCCTCGCTGATGGGCTCCAACTAAGAAACGTCGTAGTCGATCGTATTAGCAGCTGACAATTGGAGCCCGAGAACAGGGCAAAGTCGTCGCCCGCCACTCTTCCGGGTCAAGTACTGGAGTTTGAAAATCAAATGACAACATCGAGTTTGGATTGCTTAAAGGGGTAGGGGTAGTTGTTGGGATCCATTTTTAGATAATGAGATAAGAGAGAAATAAGAGTAAATTGAGTGAAATGAGAGTGAATTGAGGGAGATGAGGGTGGATGAATTGAAGTTGAATATATGTTGAATTTATTGAGTTGAAAAAAATTGGACCGGCGCATTGTGAGTGCTCTAAGGGTCAGTTCAAAAAGAAATCGGGCGGGAGGTCGCTTCGGGCATTCTAAATATATAGGGCCCAAGATTTCAAACAAAATGTTCAGTGTAAGCCCAAAATACACTTTTAAGCTCTGAAAACGATCTTTATTTCCCTTCATGTTTAAAATTGTATTTAATGAGCATCAATTTTAAATAAAAAATAATTCAAAGTTTTCATAATTCAGGTAACAGTCCATTATTTTTTTACGCCCCATGCCCAAGAAATATTAGGAACGTGCTTGCATCTGACCATTTTTTTGAAAAATATTTTTTTTGATATATAACTCATGCGAGTATCCAACTATAATTTTTTTATTTTGCTTTTTTGAAAATAATTCTTGTGGCAATTTCAATAAAGTTCAAGATAATGCAATTATTTTAATTTCTTTGAATTTTTCTTGTGAAGGCTATTGCGGCTATATTTTCTTTTATTTTTTCAAAAAGAAATACATGTCAAGTCCAATAAAGTTCAGGCATAAAATACATATGATTATTTTTATGTTAATTATTTTTGGAATTTTAATGTGAAAACAAATGTAAGTATAGTTCTTTTTAATTATTATTTTTGAATAGAAAACAAAAACAATTCATTAATCTCCAAATAACAGCATAGATACCAGGATAAAAAACAAATCACAAATATTCCCTCTACCTCCAAAAGACACAGATCAAACAAAAAGAGCTTTACACAAGTCCAGTTGACTTAGCAATCAAGTAGGTACTAACAGGGAATTTGATCCAATTGAATGTTTCCTCAACTGAAGTGATGGAATTAGTATGGAAGATCTTATTCATGGCCTTCCAAATGAAGTATCACTGACTGCTAGCAATACTGTAAGTATCCTCCTCTTCATAGAAAAAATACCTAGGAGCTGTGCACCTATTGATTCTACCGTGTCCCCTTCATAGAGATAATGGATCCATTCATAGATCTTCATGTATATCTCCTTAGTATAAGGGAAAGTACAGAAGAGGTGATGTCTATCTTCTTTAGCATTCTGACAAATTAAATAAGAAGTGTCAATTGGAAATAATATCTTCAGTCTACATTTGGTCAGAATTTTGTCTCTGCATATTAACCAAAACACAAACTTATGTTTTGGGATGGAATATCTATTCCAGACCAAATCTGTCCAGTTAGGTTTCTGCTTTTGCCCCAAAAGCCACTAGTAATCTACCTCAGGAGTGAAAGTGGTAGATTTCTCCATTTTCACAAAGCAATCCCTGGAATAATAGCAGTCATCATTCTTCTTTGGACAATCCCAAATATTATTGTTCTTCAGATATCTGTTGTGGATCCATTTAATCCATAGTACCTCCTTTTCTAAAGCAATGTCCCATACCAATTTCATGATATTAGCCTTATTCCATAGAATTAGATTTTTTAGTCCAAGTCCCCCATTCTTCTTAGGTAGGCATATATCATTCCAGGCTACCAAAAGAATCCTCCTATGATCTTGGGTAGACCCCACATGAAATTCTTACAAAAGGATTAGATCCTCTTCATTACCATACTAGGTATAAGGAAAAGTCTACTCTAGAAACTAATTATGCCAAATAGGACAGAATTAATTAACTTCACCTTCCCAGCGTAAGACACATTTTTTGAGGACCAAGTGGTGAGTTTAGTAGTCATTTTCTCTATGAGCTTCTCACAATCTTTGGCATTGATTCTAGATGAAGTGATGGGACCTCATAAGTATCTGAATGGCTGGGAACCCTTTCTCATGTTGGTTAGCTGCAGTAATTGGTTCTCCTCGTGCTTGTTGATCCCTACAATAATAATTCCTGACTTGGAATGATTAGCTGAAAGCCCAGTAGTAGAGGAGAAATGTTTCAAGCCTTTCAGGATGCATTTAATGGAATTCTCCTCAACCTTAGAAGCAACTATTAGGTCGTCACAAAAGATAATATTAATGATCTTCAAAGTTTTGCACAGGGAGTTGTATCCCAAACTTCTCCTTATATGCAAAGTATTGAAAGGATTTGGTAAGATATTCTATTATGAGAACAAATAAGAGGGGGGATAAGGCCCCCCCTGGCGTATACCCTTCCCTCCTCTGAAGAACACAAATTTTCACCTTCAAGTTGTATGGATTAAGTAGTAGTAGTCACACAGAATTTGATCCATTTAACAAACTTAGATAGGAATTTGAGGACTTTTAGGAGCTGGTCAATAGCCTTCCAGCTAACATTGTCATACGTTCTTTGGAGATCCAGTTTTAACAAGCATCTAGGGGAAATCCCTTTTCTGTTATATTCTCTAGCTAGCTCTTGACAAAGTAAGACATTTTGGACTAGCTCTCTTCCTTGAATGAAGGCTCCTTGATTCAGATTCACAATACTTGGTAGGATTTTCCTAAGTCTGCCACAAGATTTTGGAAATTACTTTATAAATTACATTGCAACATGAAATTGGCCTCTTGGGATCCTCATTCTTTAGAATGACAACTATATTTGTAGAATTAATCTCCTTTAGGGTATCCTCCTTGTGAAAAAACTCTTGAACGGCTTGAGTGAAGAGTTCCCCAATTTTCTTCCATTGATTCTTGAAGAACCCACTACTGTAACCATCTAGACCTGGTCTTTTGCTATTTGGGATTTAAAATAGACAGTTCTTAATTTCAGCAGAAGTTACTGAAGATATTAATGATAATTGTTTGTCAATGGAGAGGGTTTTCCCTATAGATATAATTTTAGCATTAATATCCTCAGTTTCTATTGTTTTCCCCAATTGGTTTTAATTAAAATTAGGGGTGTAAACGGATAATATCCGTTTCTGATGTATTATAACCGTATCCGAATCTGATTAGCAAAACCGTTATCCGAATCCGAATCCGTATCCGGCGGATGTATACTATATTAAATCTGAATCCGAATCCGGCGGATACGGATGCGGATTCGGATATATCCGCATCCGACTAGTAAAAAAATCCGAATCTAAATCCGTTTCTAGATTTGGTAAAACATCTGTTTCTAGATTCGGTAAAACCGTATCCGTATCCAGAAAAAAAATCCGTCTAAATATCCAATTATGTAATCTGAAAATCTAAAATCAACCAAGCACAACCAAAAACTTTAAATCCTTAACCAAGTTTCTTAATCTACAACATAAACAACAAAAAGATTTGACCTTGTAACAAGCAACAAAAATTAGAAAACATGAAATCTAAATTTGTAACCAAAAAGTAAAATCAGTTAAATCACATCATTAATGTTTACATAAATCATCATTCTTGAATTCCATGGAAAGCATCTCTTTAGGATACCCTACAAAAAATTGAAACATTTCATATTCGAAATAAATAAATACTTTATTTGGTCTATGCAATAACATTGATATTACATATTACAAAAATTGAAATGCTTTAGACGTGATACCAAAAGAAGTTTACCTTTGAGAATTAACCAAAGAAATATCTCAATTATACAAAGTGATACCAAAAGGAGTTTACCTTAAACGTGATTCATGCCACAACAAGGTCCAATGGATTAGCTTCACTCGTCATCTATTAAAGTAAGAGTTGATACGTAGTATAATTAAAGAAGAAAAACTTATATCCTTATATTATTTATTCGGTAAATAAATATTTATTAAATAAAAAATGATACTAACCTTCCCCTTCAATACTTGGCAACCAATCTTTCACACAAAGTAAAGCCTCAACTGTGTCAGAGTTAAGTGAGGCACGTGTATCATCAATAACCCTACGAGCTCGACTAAAAGTGGACTCTGAAGGAACCGTGGTACATGGAATTGCTAATATATCACGAGCTATCTTTGAGAGAATCGGGTACCTGCCACCATTATGTTTCCACCAATTCAAAACATCAAATGGATTGTCTTGTTCACACACTAAACCCTCCTCAAGATACAACTCAATCTCAGTTTTTTTCTTAATGGAAGTGGAACTAGACCGGGCAGCAAGCTCTTTGAACCTAGTTAAAAGAGGAAATTCAATCTCACTACTTGATAAGTTCTCAATGCGACAAGAAGAATCAGACATGGCAATACCCCCATCATCAGAACGGACCGGATCATCATACTCTACAAACAAAGCATTCCAAAAAGTTTGCACTTTGCATACATAACTGTCTCGATTATCATTATCGCTATCCCCAAAAGCAGCTTTAACAAGTGTCATTTTATATCTAGGATCAAGAATTGAAGCAATCGTCAACACCATACTACATTCATCCCAATATTTATCAAACTTTGTTTGCATCAAAAGTGCCATTGTTGAAATATCCAGATCAGTACTATCACTCCACTGCTTCAAGCACTCTCTTATCTGACAAACAAAAGTAAAGTAAAGGGGGGCAGTTGGATACTTACTCCCTTAAAGTGCTTCTGTTGCATTTTTGAAAATCTTCAAATGCCTGCAAATCTTTGCACCAATTTCCCACTCCTCTTCCGATGGCAAGTATTTGTAACTAGTATCTAATTCAGCCAAACGCTTAAATGCTTCTTTGAGGTCAAGTGCATTCATAAGCATATCATACGTAGAATTCCATCTAGCATCACACTCCAAACTTACCCGTCTCTTTGGGTTAAGTCGTGTCTGTACCAATGCAAAAGAAAACTTTTCCTCTCTTTGCACTGACCCATTAACATATTTGACACTATCACAAATCTTTACAATCAATCCATTAATCACATCCAACCCTTTTTTTACAATCAAATTCATGATGTGTGCTGAACAACGAATATGAAACAATTCTCCATTATGAACAAGTGCACCCTTCCCATTTAACCAATCCCTAATGCCATCCAACATTCCAGAGTTTTGTGAGGCATTATCCACAACAACAGAAAATAACTTCTTATCAATATTCCATTCAAGAATACGATTTTTCAACCATTCACATAAACGCAACCCACTATGCGGATATTCAACAACATGAAAAGCAAGCAATTTACTTTGCAATTTCCAATCAGAATCAATAAAATGAGAAGTTAGACAAAAATACCCCCGATTTTGATGATCCGATGTCCACCCATCAGTTGTAAGAGTCACTCGTGAAGTTAAGTTTCCAACAACATCGTACATTAGTGCTTTTTCTTCATTATAAACTTCCATCAAATCATTCTTCACTGTAGTCCTTGATCGAAACTTATAAGAAGGCATGCAATATGAAATCCAATGTCTAAAGTACTCATAATGGGACATAAGAAAAGGCAAATCATGTTTGGCAATCATTTTAGCAAACAAAATCCTTTCAACCTTTGGATCAAACTTGTGTGTTTTGATCTTATTAGAGAGATTGGCATTTTCAATAGATTTTCCAATAAAAGCTTGCTTAATATCACCCGAGTTAGCTTTGAGAGGACAAACATTATGATGATTTTTTAAGTGAGTCGTACCGGCCTTACTTGATCCATCAAATTTTCTTTTACAATCCTTGCAAGTTGCAACAACTTTACCTGCACCTCCAATACACTCCCTTGTAAAAAAGTCCCATACCTGTGAGGTCAACTTTCTTTTCTTTGCATTTGCTTGGGTATCTTGTTCTAAAACAAGTGATTCAGTAGGGATTGAACTATTATTTGCAGTTGATTGTGAAGAAGCTTCGATGCTTTGCTGATTTTGTTCTGCCATTTTTCTACAAAAAAAAATTAAATACAATGTTGAGTTCTTAAACTTAACAGTTTTGGGACAAGGAGACTATAATATATTGAAAACTAATCATCCAAAAAGAGATACTGCATAAAACAAAGAGGAAAACAGTCAACTTGTACAGAAAAACAGTAGTGGCATTTGGAGTAACAAAATGCATCTAGTTTTTCGAATTCAAATTAGTAAACAAGAAAACAGTAGTGGGATGACATTTCCAAAAAAAAACAAACAAAATGCATTTAGTTTTTTGAATTCAAATTCAGTAACAAAAAAAAGAAAAAAATCAAAGGAACAATTGGAGTACAACAGTAGTGGCAATTTCTTTTTTTCATAGTGGCGCTGATTCTAAAATCAAATGAACAATTTGACTACAACAACAATGGCGATTTAATTTTCTTAGTGCCGATTTCATAGTGGCGATTTTCAGAGAGGCGTTGATTCTAAAATTAAAGGAAAAAATAAAAGCATAATTGAGAGTTTATACCTAAAATCAAACAATAGAGTAGATGATGATGCTAAGGATTGAAGTGCTGAGCTGAAGCCGTAGCTGAAATGGTCGCTGGATTCGGAAAATAGCTGAGGAAGACGCTAGGTCAGTTGGTCACTCTGTCGCTGGAGCCTGGATGCTGGTTCCGGAAAAAAACAATGCTCCGCATTAGGATGTATTTAGGTTTAATCAATACTCAAGTCTCAATAGTGGTTTTGGGCCATTTAGGCTTAGTGGGCTGAGAAGAAATTAGAAAACTAGGAGTATACATAAAAATATTAATTAGTCTAAACTACGGATTTTTTTTTACTACGGATAATTTTTTATTTACCTATATTCGGTATAACGGATCGGATAATCGGATATGCGGATATATAAACGGATGCAAACACGGATCGGATTTTAAACGGATCGGATCTGTAATTACCAAATCCGCATCCGTTTATCAATCGGATGTGCTTAATCGAATACGGATAATATCCGTTTAAAACGAATGCGGATTTTTTACATTTAAACGAATACGGATGCGGACGGTAATCGGATTTTCGGTTATCCATTTACACCCCTAATTAAAATCCACTAATACTTTAGCCACTCTTACCTTCCCCTCCACAACTTCTCCATCTTCTTTGGTGATAGATGACAGATGAGTTTGGATTCTTCTCTTCTTTAACCATGCATGGAAATATTTTGTGTCCTGATCCCCATATGTGATTCAGTCTGCTTTGGATTGTTGGATTCTCATGAGGAAACTGGACCTTAACTTCTGATGTAGCTCCTGTGATAGTGTTTTTTCAGTGTTTGCCAATACCCTATTTGTTCTATGAACCCTCATGTCCTCGTGGACCAAGTGAAGTTTGGTTATAATATGCTCAATTTGGGTATCTAGTTATTGAAATTTACTTCTGTTCAGTTTCTTTAGGGGACCTTTGAGTTGTTTTAGTTTCTGGATAATCTGGTACATGAGATAATCTTGGTGTTCTTTATCCCAGACTTCAGCCACCAAAGAGGGGAAATGGGGATCAAGTGTCCACATATCATAGAAGCTAAAATGAAGACTAGGCACTTGCTGGGCTATCTGTTTGACGACAATAGAGGAGTGATCACATATTCCTCTCTCCTTGAAGTAAACCTTATAATCCAAATTGAGTATCCATTCAATATTTCCCAAAGGTCTATCCAGTTTGGAATAGATTCTCTTATCAATCTCCTGGTTATTTGTCCAGGTGAATCTGGGTCCTTCAAAAGGAAGATCTTCTAATCCACAGACTTCCAGATACTCTTGGAAAGGCCTAGTCACTTCCTTGTTTACAGGATTCCCCCAAATTTTTTCATCATGTAGTAGAACAGTATTAAAGTCCCCCAACACACGCCATGGATCAGTTGTGACTAATCTTTGTAATGTCTCACACAAGTCCTTCCTCTTATTAGGATCATTATGGGTATATATAAAGGTTCAGAAATACTCTTTATTACTTCCAAACTCTCTAATTTGGCAGTGAACAACCTGGTCAGTATACTCCAAAACCTTGAGATTGAGCTTTTGTGAATCCTAAATAACCCAAACTCTGCCTAGAGCATGAGCTTGGTTATTGATGAAAGATCCCCAACCCCTAAAAAGTTTATTATTCTCCATCTCCTTAAATTTATTACTCCCTCCGTTTCTCAAAACGGTTCATGTTTTGACTTTGGAGCAAAATAAGGAAAGTGTAATTTTAGTTATTTTCCAATTTTGCCCCTGATGTGATGGGTAAAAGTAAGATGTGATAGTTTAGTTATTAGTGAAAAAGTATGATGTGATAGGTAGGATATGAAAAAGTAGGGGTAAAAGTGGTTTTTAATAGAAAAAGTAAGTGTTTTAAGAAAAACAAAAAAATGAAAGAGGAAGGGTTTTAAGAAACGGATGGAGTATCTCTTATTTTGGTCTCCAAAATACCAAAAACAGCCGGCTTATGTTTATTTAGTATGTGCTTTACTTCAACTTGTTTATTAGGACTATTAAGTCCTCTAATATTCCAGCAACCAATCATAGCAAGAAGGGGTAATGGCCCTTATTCGGGACTGAACTTAAATCCTTATGAAGATTTCCCACATAATTCCCCTCCGTACCTTCCACTGATCTCCTTCTTGCAGCCTTCTTTTTTCAAACCTCTAGAAAACCAGAGTCATCAAAGATCTCCTTGTTGAGCACACTGATATCAGCCTTACAACAAGCATTAGATATTACCGCATCTGAAATGATCTTTGTTTCTTTATTACCTTCAACATCTTTGTCTTCATCCTGTGTTTCAGTGAGTTTAGGTTCTGGTTCCTTATCCCCTTGTTGAAAAACTTTTGGTCTCCACCTGGTTTTCTTCTTCTCTGATCCCTTAGTGTTTAAGTTAAGCCTTTTCCTGCACAGCTCAACTAGATGACCAATTCTGTTACAATGTGAGCATAATGTGGGTGCCCATTCATACTTCACACTTTGTATAATAATCCTACCCTCATCATTGAGAGAATTTATTTGATCGGGGAAACTCTGATTTATCTGGACTTTAATCTGAATGCGAGCACATGACCATTTAACTCTTGACGTAGTTGCCCTATCCCTTTTGATTGGTTGTCCTATAGCACTCCCTAATTTACTCAAGGCTGATAGGCTCCAATATTTCATTTCAAGTTCAGGAAATTGGACCCAGATGGGGATGTCTTTCCTTTCCATTAAATTCACTTTATAGCCTGGGTACCACTTTTGGACATAAACTGGTTTATTATCCATAAAGTAGTATTTCCTTTTTATGATCTCATCCCTGTCCTCTTCTTTATGGAATCTCACAAGGAATTGACCCTTTTTTAAGAAAGAGATGTCATCAATATGAAACACTTTCCATATACGAGTTAAAAATCCCTTTGAATTTAGATCGATCACCTCCTCAATCTGATGCTCCAGATCTTGGGGTGATTGAGGTATCATATTAGGAACATCTGGTGATTTCGAGCAAGAGTCCATAGGTTTATTGGTTTAACCTTCTCAGAAGAGTTCTCTTGGTGATCTGGTGTGAGTATCTCATCTCCGGTACCTTTTCCGGCAACTTTTGGTGGTTGCCCTCTCTTTCCCATGGCTAGAGAGAGAAACTCATGTCTTCCATTAATTATTTTTTTTGAAAATAAAATAATTTTTCGATTCAAGTAAATTAAAGGTCGACCGTATAATAAACATGATCCTTTAATATCTCATTTTTTGGAAAATAATCTTTTATTTTTGGAATTGAATTAACTTGATTTTTTACTAATTGATTTTTGTATCCAAGTGTTTTTCAACTCTTTTGTTTGAAGTCATAATTTTATTATATTTCATATTTTTTTATTATTTTAGTCTATTTATAATCAATTATTGATATTGGAATAATCTATGGAATTCAATTATAATCTATGGAATTCAGTAGATGGGAAGTTTGAGGTGAAGAAGGATTATGACTGGCTTCAGGGTGACCCCCAGAAGGTTGGGTGGGCTAACTGTGTATGGAACAAGACTACCCCCCAAAGTGCAGTTTATATTCTGGTTGTTAATGCGAGATAGACTACTAACCAAGGCTAGATTGGCTAAATGGTATGTAGCTAACACTGAATGTAGTCTATGTGGGGATGAACTGGAGGACAGTAAGCATTTTTTTGTGCGTGTGAGTATACTAAGGGTTCTATATTCAGTTTTGCAACGTTATAACCTTCGGTATGATCAACCCAGTATTGTGGAATTTGGCGAGAAGATCAACACAAGGGTGAGATGCACACTTCGCAGGGAGACTATTGCAGCCTGGGCGATAGGATGTTATGGTATTTGGAGAGCGCAAAATGGGATCATTCATCAGAAGAACATCACCGAGTAAAATACTATAGACTATATTAATTTTACTCTTCATAGCTATAATCATTTCAAAAGGAAAAATGTAACCAACTAGGTGTTAGTACTGGTCATGTACTAAACATTATATTTGAAGTGGAATATATTGGTACTTTTGTTCAAAATAAAATAAAATAAAATGCATCAAAATATGTAAAAGACCATATATAATTCGAACAATCCATTAATCTTACATAGTCCATGAATATATAAATATATGTGAAGTCCATGAATTTGAATTGATACACACTTTATTTTGAAATGGCCATTTTGAAAAAATACAAAATTTAAAAAAACTATTTTGAGAACTTAATTTAAGTTTAAATGATGGAGAATATTAAAATACACTCACTTAAGAGGCATACAATAAAGTTTTTGATGTAAGAGTTAATAAAATAGACAAAATAAATCTCAAATATATCATGTACGTAATTATTATTTATTGATAATTAATTTGATCTAGGAAAAACATCTTAATAAAAAAGCAATTATTTTAAAATTTTACTCATACCCTCTTTGTATAAGTTATTTGAAAATTTAACTTTAATTATTAATTGAAGACTGATTTGAAACAAAAACATTTTAATAGAAAAAACAATTTTAAAAATTTACTCATACATATTTTGTACCCCTCCCTCTCTAAATCTAAGCCACACTTTGACTTCACACAAATTAAGGCAAAGTCAAAAAAAACCATTTGATAATTAGACTTTGGTTCAATTTGATTAGGAAAAGTCAACAATGATGAAACATTAGGGGCCGCCAAATATAGTTGAGTGGGTCGGCTCCTAATCCATATGGAATAGGGAAAGATTATTGTTTTATGCGGAAGAAGATTGAAGACGGCGGCGGCACGCTATGCCGGCGGCGGCGTGGAAATGCTAAGACGACTGATTAGAGGAAGAAGAAGAGGAAAAGATGAAATGTTCCGTGGCGGTGGGGGAGAGGCCGATGACGTTCTCCGGGAAGTTGAGTTTGGCTTTGCTTCCCCGGAATGTGAGGGCGGCCTCGTCGTAGGCTCGGGCGGCGGCCTCGGCAGTGTCGAAGGTGCCGAGCCACACTCTGGCGGCTTTGTAGGGGTCTCTGATCTCGGCGGCCCATTTCCCCCATGGCCTCTGTCTCACTCCCCTGTATCTTCTTCCTCCTCCTCCTCCTCCTCCTCCAGGTCTTGTCGTCGTCGTTGTCCCGTCATGTTCACCGTCGTTAATATTAACAACGCTAACGTCTCCGCCTGAATCGGGGCTGCTACCGGAGGTGTATATGAAGGAGGTTGCCGCAGCTGCTTCACCTGTCCCTCCCATGCCGGTGCTCATTGATCTTATTATTCTGCATTCCCCTCCTGGTTCAAGTCATATTAGTAATTACAAATTTACAATGAGTCATTATTATACAAAAAAAACAATGACAATTGATGATGATGATGATATTTTGGTCTATAATAAAAAGATATTTATATATTTGATTTTTTAAATTAGATTTTATAAACTTTGTACGGAGTTATATATGGTGAAATTTGCACTGAATATGACTAAAACATAAGTCATTTCTCAATGTAGGATTTAAACTTTTTTATTTCCTAAATAGAACGTAATAATGACCGATGAGAAGAATAATATCCAAGGGATGCTGGACATTTAGTTGAATAATGACTAAAAGATAATGACTAATGGTCCTACATTGAGAAATAAAAACATATGGTCCTATATTGAGAAAGTCATTATGTTAATATATACTCCTTCCGTCCCCAAAAGATCTTCCCCTTTCATTTTTTGTTGTCGCCAAAAGATGTTCCTTTATGTATTAAAAAACCACTTATACTGCTTACTTTCTCATACCCTACCTATCACATTATACCTTTTTACTAATAATCTATCCATCACATCTTACTTACCCATCACATCAAGAGTTTTTTTGGAAAGTCAACACAAAAATATCCTTTCCTTAATTTCCCAAAAAGTCAATAAGGGAAACCCTTTTGAGGACGGATGAAGTATTTAATACAACTGATTTTATTTCAAGATGTAATTTGAAATTGATATTTCAAATTTTCATAACATTTACAGAGTATTTTTTAAACAAGTATACAAAGTAATTATTTATTGTCAAAGTATGACATTGATAATTATGAAATATGAAATATAACCATCTTTTCGGGACATAGAATAAGAAGAAGATGAAGATGACAAAGATAATAATAAGATCAGTCCTATCTACTCTAACGTTTGACTATATATGTAAAGTTCTAAAATGTCATGCTTTTGAGAAAAATAAACTATTACACAATTCAAGTGAATTAATAAGACTTTATTAAAAATAATGGAATAGTTATTGAAATATTCAGTCAATATCTAACATTGACTACTAATGACCACTTTCGTAGAGTCATTCGTATAATTAGTCATTATCTAACACTTGTTGCTAAAGAGGGCATATATGGTAGATCATATAGAATTATGTGCCATTCATGTAATAAAACATACTTGTCTTATTCTGGAAAACGTACTACATTTAGTTCCATATGAAGCAAATTTTTCTAATAATAATAATAAATATTTTACTCATATTTATATTTTGCTTAGTCGCTGTTTAATTTGATTTTTTTTCAATCAAATTGAGTGAGCATTGATCAACAATTAATTAGGAATTGTATGCATGTTTTTTTTGTTTTGTATGCATGTTAATTCAAACGTAATTTTACCAACTTTCTCTTATAAAGAACTACGAAGTACTTATTAGAAATTAGGAGTATTTGGTAATACTCCCTACTATGTTATTCGTGTAGAGTATGGGAGAGTGTGCATGCAGATCTTATTATACTTACAAATGAAAAGGTTCTTTCAAGAGACACCCAACTTAAGCAGAAAATAATGAAATGAGATGTTACTATTCACAATGTTTCATACGAAGTATCTTTCTTCTAAGTTTGACTTTGGAGGAACAATATGGTTTTCATATCAAATTTATATGGTTTATTCGTTAGGTAAAACAACATTTTGAGTATATATTATAGAATAAATCTAAAAAATTAACTCCCTCTGTTCCTTTAAACCCTTCCCATTTTGACTTTAAGCCAAATTAAGGAAAATATAATTTTCGTTGACTTTCTAATTTTGCCCATGATGTAATGGGTAAAAATAAGATGCGATAGTTTGGTTATTCATGAAAAAGTATAATGTGATAGGTATGGTATGAAAAAGTAAGGGTAAAAGTGGTTTTTTAATAGAAAGTGAAAGTGTTTTAGTGAATTAGAAAAAAATGAAAGGAAAGGGTTTTATGGAACAGAAGGAGTATTCGGTATGAGTATCTAATAATATCTGTTTTGTTTAATTAGTACTCCGTAGTTAAAGTTTCTTAATTTTAATTGTACATAATCAAAACTGAACAAATATTTAAAAATGGAGATACGCATACTTAAAATATTGCATAAAAATGGTGAAAAGCCACAAAGATTTCGGGGAGGAATGAATGGATGGGAGTACACAGTACTTTATATACGTACATACCTAAGTATCCCGGGGGAATAGAGGACGACGGCGATTCCAGTTTCACTCCGCCGACACCCCACGACGACTGATGGGAAGATCCGTCGGCGGCGGCGGGAGGGGGATGGTAGCTGCCGTCATTTCCGGCCACCACCTGAGTCAAGGCCGAAACCATCACAGACATCTCCTGCTCGGCGTCTATCCCGGTAAACATCGGCGAAACAAATCAAAAATGCGCGAATTGAACCAGGCTAGCTAACTAGGGAAATATGTTAATATAGGATATGATTTTTATACTTTTATACGGAGTGTATATAATATAGGAGTATTATATATATATATATATATATATATATATATATATATATATATATATATATATATATATATATATATATATATATATATATATATATATATATATATATATATATATATATATATATATATATATATATATATATATATATAGGCGGCAGACGAAGGCGAGAAATGGGTATGAAATAATGAACGTGCAAAATAGATGTGATTTCAAACATGGAGCGCCGCCAAACAAAGAGTCGGTCATTCATATATATATATATATTTCTGGCTAGAAGGGGGTGATCAACACTGGTTTGACATGTTTCCTACACCGGTTGAGGACAAGTTGATTCTCTTGCTAAACAACTAGAGAGCCCCGCAGCAAGTTTAGCAACTATTTCTCATTTTATGCACTCGAATGAGGTTTTTAAATTAGGAAATACTAATAAAATATAGTGAATTTTTCTCAATTTGGTACCGTATGTTTTTATTTCTTAATGTAGTACCATCCGTCATTATTCACTTGTCATTGTTCAAATAATGTTCACCGCCACTGGACATTGTTCAAACTAAATGTTTACCATTATTGAACATTTTTTGGCCACTAGACATTATTTAGTGCAAATTTCAGTTTAAATTATAGTTCCTCCGTCTCATCAATTTTTTCAAAAATAAAAAATGCACGCCCTAAGAAGGTGTAATTTTGATATTATTTTATAATTTTGTCATCATTTTATAATAAGGTAGTACATGTTGATAAAATTTGATACTCCGTAATAACTAGTCTTATTGAATAATAAATAATATTTTATTCCAATATATAAGGATTATATATAAAAGAGAATTCTAATCATAATAGAATAAGAAATATAGAAGAAAAAGAATAAGGAAAGTAATAAATAATACTCCGTAATATTTTATTTTCTATTATCTCTAGTATTCCGAATATCTGCCGCAAGCTGATCATCGGTAACGAGAAGTAGCTTGGAGTAAAGGTATTGAAATATATGCAGAGTCGACAGAAAAGTTTTTGGGAGGATAGCCGCTAGGACAAGAGAGACAAATCTTTGTTGCATGATGAATGAACTTGAGAGTATGTTTGTTGAGTTTTTTCTGGGGAGAGTGTTGACGATTGGAGCGAGGGCGAGGAGTTTGTTTTCTCCTTGTGGGCTGTTCTCTACTTTTTAATGTTTTTCATGCTCTCAAACTCTAGAAGAAACAAATGCAAATATAGTTTTTCCAATTCTTTGATCACGCACATAATTTTTTTTAGAGAGGGTGTAGAAATTTGGAACTGAATGACTTCCTTCGAATTAGAGTTCAATCCGTGTATATATATATATATATATATATATATATATATATATATATATATATATATATATATATAAAATACAATATTTCGAAACTAACTAAGGAAACCTAATTAATATAAAATATATACCCAATGACCCAAATATATTCTAATACACTGATCCCTCTCAAGTTGGAGAATAAATATCAAGAATGACTAAATTGGATAATAAAAAGCAGAAAAGAGGTCCTACCGCAGCCTTCGTGAAGATTTCCGCCACATGCAGCTTCATAAGAACATAGGTAGTAGCAACATGATTGTGTTGAACACACTCACGAACAATATGACAATCGATATCAATATGTTTTGATCGCTCATGAAAAATGTGATTTACAACAATGAATAAAGTAGAGTTATTATCACAGTACAATCACGGAGTAGAAAAACATGAAACCATTAACGCAACTAAAATACCTCGTATCCATCGAGTTTCATTGCGTGCATTGGCCATAGCAAGATACTCAACTTTAGCGGAAGAATGAGAAACAGTAGTTTCCTTCTTAGTGTGCCATGATATAGGCGACTGACCTAACATGAAAAAATATCCAGTAACAAAATGGCGAGTAAGAGGAAAACTTGCCTAGTGAGAATCAGAGTAGGCAATAAGCACCAGATTATAATTACTTTTCAACAGAAAACCTTATCCAGGATGTCCCTTTGAATATTTGATAGCTCGTAAACAAGCATTGAGATGATCAAATCGCGGGGCTTGCATAAATGACAAAACATGAATAGGAAAATAGATGTTAGAACGAGCAATAGTAGGGTAAAACAATCGCCCAACCAGCCTATGTTCGTATGGTATTTTATCTCAGTAGTATTGGAGGTGGCAAGGACCAGGTTGTTGAAACATGGGTTTATCGCTTTATCGTACTAAAGCCATGTTCGTTTTTATGACAGGTTTTGATAATGCCAAATCGCCGTGAACGAGACAAGTCGTTGAATATACAAGGCGAGAAATAAAGATGAGAAGAAAGAGAACAAGAACCAAAAGAGACCAAGAACAAAGACCGTAGTCTTTAGTGTCGTTGAGTCGATCACAATGTGATCAAGACCGACCCACGCTTTGCACTTTGGCTCTTTAGGCTAAAAGATTTTTCATTGCATTTCACATATCATCAAAATGCTTTTAAAACATGTTTAAACATATTAAAAACACTTGGTGTTTGCCCAAACCAAAAACCAAGCCATCCAGCATTCGGCTTTCAGAAACCTGGTTTTAGAAACCGGCGTTCGGCATTCGGTTATCAGCGTTGGATTTGCGCCCAAACCAACCAAGTGGTTTTCAACTTTTTATGGTTGGTTTTTACTTCTGGTCATATTTAAATAGTTCTCCAACAAAAACACTTAAAAAAACCATCTTTCGTTTTTGGTCGTTTGACAAAAACCATGCGAAACAATATAAACTTGGCTAGCTGTGGATTTTACTCAAATGACGTAGTTTTTAAAGTGTCTCACTTGGTTTCTTAGCCAAATACATTAAATAAGTGTTTTAAACACTTGGTTTTTATTTTGGAAAAACTTGGCATTTTTCGGTCAGTTTTAGCATCTGTTGGCTAGGCCATGGTTCAGGAAAAAACCATAGGTTTTTGACTAACCATCAACCCAACGATGGGAAGTATTACCCATCGATGGGTAAGCGGTCCTTCAGGCCAACTGAATTCTAGAACCATGCCAAACAGTGATGGGAAGTTCTACCCATCGCTGTACAAGCCTTGATTCAATATAAACACAAGGCAGAATGCCCTTACCCAGCGATGGGGACTTGAACCCATCGATGAGAACCCAACGATGGGAGGGGAATACCCATCGCTGGTTAGAAATGACCGTTGTGAGTCATTTAAGCCTGATTATTTCGTTGTTTGAAAGTCAACCTCCCACCGAGCGATGGGAAGTGTTTACCCATCGATGGGTAGGTGACCGTTGCCTTCAAAACTGATGAGAAATTGGCTTTCCAGCGATGGGTAGCTCCATACATCGCTGGGAAAGCCAATCCCTTGCAGATCCATAATTTAATATCAATCCCACAAATTATGCCAATCACCCCTTCAATGCCTTGATCCGATGGAGCCTATTTTGGCACTATAAAAAGGGGTGTTTGGGTCTTCATTACACACCAATTCACTTCACATTACACATACTATCATTGCATTCCAACAACATCATTTTCCATAGCTTTCTAGAACCAATTTGTGTGAAGTTTGAGTTGTTCTCGAGCGTATATATTTTACTCAAAATCTACTCTTATAGAGAGTCTTGTTCTTGAGTGTTCTTAGTGTTGTATACACGTTAAGGGAAGCTTGTTTCCCTTGGTTGTTCGAAGGAAAGGTATTTTCCTTCGGGTTTAAGTCTTGGAGTGTGGTATCTCTGAGCAAGTGTTGTTGAGGCTCGTGGGACTCGAGTTCTCAAGCTGTAACGGTTTGTTAAGCACCCGTAAGCTTAACGGAAGTAGTGTAGCTCGAGAGAGTCTCTCGGGAGACTGGACTAGCCACACATTGTGGTGAACCAATATAAATCTTGGTGTGCTCCCTTTACGCTTTCTACGCTCTTTACTTTTCACGTTCTTATTTTTTTATTCCTGCGATTTCTATGATCAAATGCTATTCACCCCCTCTAGCGTTGGTCACTAATTCTAACAATTGGTATCAGAGCCTAACTCGCATCCAAACTTAACCGTTTGAGAGAAAAGCGATCATGGGTTCTTCTTCTAGAAAACTCTATGCAGGGATTGGAGAAGGTCAATCAACTTCTAGGCCACCGCTCTTCGATGGCACTAACTACACATATTGGAAAGAGCGGATGAGAATCTATATCCGCGCAACCAACTTCTAATTGTGGTTGGTCATCAAGAATGGCGAAGAGACGCCAATGAAAAAGGTTTGGGAGACACTTGTCCCAAAGACCGAGGACGAATTTGATGCCGAAGACCTCAAGAAAGTAGAGAACTACGCAAAGGCGATTAACATTCTCTACTGCGCGGTCAACCCCGACGACTACCGCAAGATCTCCTGCTGCTCAACTGCCAAGGAGATGTGGGATACACTTGAGGGGACGTACGAAGGAACGGACGAACTACGTGAAGCGAAGATCGACTTCCTCCCCAAAGAGTATGAGATGTTTAGGATGAAGGAGCACGAGAAGATCGACGACATGTTCGACCGATTTTCCAAGATAATCAACGATCTTCATGTGTTGAAGAAGAGTTACACCGACAGGGAACTTGTGAAAAAGATCCTACAGAGCTTGGCATCCGAATGGCGATCTAAGGCCGATGCCATCAATGAGTCAATCGGCACATCAAATGTCAACATCAACGGTCTGATATGTCCGTTTCATTCTTATCATTTACATCATATTCTAAACGTTATTGCACGTAAATAATATTTAATCATCTTATAAAATGTGATTTCGATGAATAAAACTCTCATTTTCGTTCTAAGAGTCATAAAAAGGGATTCCACTTGAAATCATCATAAATCATCCATTTTATGTTCAAAAACAGTGTTCGGGGCCAAAACGGAGTGAAATTGGGCCGAAATCACGAATTAGCCGCGAAGCCCAAACGGACCAGGACCTAAGGCGTCCAACTTGGACGCTTGGCCTAGTTGGACGCTTGGGAGTTGGACGCCTTGGCTGGATTGCAGTCCAAGGAAGACACGTGGCAAAACTTGGTTGGCCGGAGCAGCTCAAGCGTCCCGATGTGGACGCCTGGACTTGGACGCTTCTACTTGGACGCCTCGGCCTCTGTCCTATAAATACAGCGTGATTCATCTCATTCCATCCATCACCATCAATCCCATTCTCGAGAATTGAGCTCTATATTTCAGTTCCTAGTTCTAGTTTAGCATAGTAGTAGTTTAGAATAATTTTTTGGAGAAATTCTGCTCCCGCTTTGTTTAATTCCGCTTGTACGGAAGTTGTAAGTTTCCTTTATTTAATAAAATGTTGTTTTAATTTATGTTTACATAGTATGAGTTAGGGTCCGGATCTCTGGGTCCGGACTAGTTTGGTTGTTTATTTTTTATGTTAAATTAATATTGGAATGGTTAGTCTATTGTTCTTGCCTTATTTGGTTAATTAAACTCGCAAGATTTAATTGACCATTTACTGAGAAAATATTGTAAGCCGAATGGCTATGATATTCAAGTGCAACGGATTAAGTACAAATCTAGAAATGGATGAGTAATAATTGAAATATTATTATTCCAATTGTTAATTAAATATGATAAAATAAATCGAAATGATGTCCAGACCCTAGGTCCAGATCTATACTTATGCTATGTGAAATTTATTTATTATTTTTACTCCGCTCTTTTTATTCATTCCGAGTAGACTTTCATAAACCTGTCCAAGTCTTTGCTTAGTTAGAGTAAATAAACTAATTCCCTTCGTCCACTCCTCGAGAGACACGACACTCGGAGAGAAAACTAACCCTTTAGTGGGAAGGTTTACTACTCGAAAAACTACAATTGTCTATACTTAACCCGTCTTTGAATGACCAAAGGAAATGCATAGCATTAAAAGTCTTTAAAGAACCGATGATGAATGACTCAAGAGACGATGATGAAGTCACGCTTGTCATGAAGAAGTTTTGTAAAATTCTAAGGAAGAAAGAAAAGGTTGAGGATGGCCCTGTGTGCTATGGATGTGGAGAAGCCGGGCACATCAAGAACAAATGCCCAAGAAGCGGAAGGGATTCTCGTTGCTTCAAGAAGCAAAGAGCTTACATCTCTTGGGGTGGCGATTCCGGAGACGAATCAACCGACCAAGAGGAGGACGAAGCTGCCAACCTCTGCCTCATGGCATACGAAGACCAAAATGATGACGTACAAGAGGTATGTACCACTTCTTCTGACTCTTTTACTTTTGAAGAAATGCAAGACGCACTTCGTGAGCATTACGATGAATTTATTAGCGCTTCTAAAATCAACAAATCGTTAAAGAAACGCCTTTCCACTCCTGAAAATGATTTTGAAAAACTGGAAAAAGATAAAGTGACATTAAAACAAGAAAATAAATTTTATGGCAAAAGAAGCGACGACAAACCAGAAAGCTCCTCAAACGAATGTGAATATTATAAAGCTTTAAAAGAACAAGTCACAAAACCTGAGAGTACGGTTAAGAAATTTAATACTCCGCACAAAGATCTTAATTTACTCCTTGACACTATGCATTTTTCTAATAAGGAAGAAATAGGTTTTGATAAAAATGAATCTAAGGATAAAGAAAACGTTGAGCAAACACCTAGACAACCACCTAAGGCTTAACGTAAGAAAGCTAAAAATCAGAAAAAAAAGATGACAAAGTTTAGTTAAAGTTTGAAATGTAAGTTGTGTGAACTTTTTGTCAACTGTCTATGATAAGCCTTTCAAAAATCAAATTGGTAAAGGTTTGAAGATAAGTATCATTGTACAAAAAAAGATTTGCTTAACAAAAAAAATATTTTGGTATTTGACTTAAACTGTTTACTTTTGATTTGAAAAAAAAAATGATTGATTGCTGTTTTAATTGCTTAAAGAAACAAAATGTAGTGCTTTCAAATCAAAACATATGAATCAGAAAAACATTTAATCAAATGTTAAAGTGATCTCTTTTACAAAGAAAAGGTACATATATTGTTAGAAATTTTTTTTAAATGCATTTAGTAATTTCACTCGTTCCCTTAGGAGAATTTCGGGGACGAAATTCCTTTAAGGGGGAGAGAAATGTAACGACCCGAAAACCGGCTTAGTAGTTAGCCGTTATTTTTAATAAAAATAAACATAATATTTATTTACTCTAAAATATGAATTATTGGTAAAGTTATCCGTTTTAAATTAAAATTGGGTTTTCGGTTAAATCTCGTAAAATGGTGACCAACGGTATATAGTTTGTTAAATTCGGACTTGCGTGTAAAGCATGATGACTAAAATAGACATTATAGTTCAATAAGTAAATATAAAGATTTTTATAATAAAATATTAAATTATATTTCCTAATACTACCCGTACACCAAAACCCTTCCCTCCCCTTATATAACACACGCACACAACACAAAAAGATGGAAAAAGAGAGAAACAAACCTACGGAATACTTTGTGCGACGGTAAAAGAGAAGGAGAGAGCAGCCGCAGACCAGAGTCGGAAGGAAGGAGCTCGACACCGCCGCCGTCGTCCTGTGTCGCCGCTGCCATTGGGATCGCCGGAAACAGCCCGACCAATTGAGTCTTGTTTTGTTTAATTCGTCTAATTATCGAGGTCAGAACTTGCACATCTAACGCTAGATTATGTATATAGATTTGAAATTCACGTTCGTAGTTTCGTATGATTGATTACGTGGCTTATCTGTTTATAATTGATTTATGATTTATTTATATTTTATGATAATATTGGAATTGATTGAACGAGGACGACCAGGTACGTATTCTTACTCTAAATTGTGTGGGTTTGCATGATAATAATCTTTAAAAACGTAGTACATATTGTATGGGTTGGAATTGGACCGGAATCTGTTGCTCCGGTGACTTCCCGACGTCAGACGGTAGCTAAGTACCGCCTAGCGGTACGGTGCTACCGCCACTGAAGGTTTCCACTGCCGGTACCTGCGCCCGCACGGTACGGGGGTACTGGACCGACGGTACCAAGGTACCGCCTGGCGGTATTGAGGTACCGTAAGGGGTATCGGACCAGCAGACTGTTCGATCGATTCTTCGTCTGTTGCTCTATTTCAACTTCTGGATTGTTCCCTATGCCTTGTGTGTTGCATGACGGTGAGTGAAAGGTGTTTACACCAGACACTAGGCCGCTAAATGAGTTGCCTGATTGATTAACTGATTATTGTAACCTTTCTGTTATAATTAAATATAATCCTGTTGTGTTATGGAAGTAATAAGGAAGTGAGATTGTTGTTGGAATAAGTATGAATTATAGAGATGTTGTAAATAAATGATTAGGCTACCTTGGGGAACTCTAGGACTGCCTTAGTAAGATTGTAAGTATAAATGTCAATAGATAGGGTCAGCCCTGCGGATATGATATCCGACGGCTGCGGGTTAAAACGTACGTACGGGATCCAAGAACTGTCGTTCCGAAGGGGACAGGGGTACCACCCACCCAGCGGAGAACTCCTTCGTTGGTCATCAGGTTGTGTTGTGTCATAAGGTGCTAAATAAGGTAGACTTAATTCATGGCCGTAGGTAGTGGCTCCAAGTCCGAACATAAGGTTGTAAATAAGGAAGTATGGTCTTAGCCTTGTAATTATGTTTTGAGCTATGAATGAAGACAGATAGGGTAATGAATTGTTACTCGTGAATTTATTTAATGTCTGTTATGTGATATTATGTTGTGTACTTGTGTGCATGATATTGTATGAGGTTATGAGCTAGTGGGTTCGTCTGTATGCGTAGTTGAAACGTTAGATAGTTCTCACTTAGCTTCAATGCTGAGCGTGTAGCTCTTTTTCCTATTTGCTACACGTAGGTAACATGAATGATGAATAAGGAACTATCCTGGAGGGAAGCGAGGGCGGAGAGGTGGATGGATGCTAGTTGGAGGAGTTTATTATTTAATATTTAAGTTTGAATTAATTATGTTTTTAAGGGCAAGAACCCAAAGATGTATTTTGATTTAACTATTAAAGGCTTCCGCACTGTTTTGATTTACTCCGATGGATTTATAAATATTGTTTTTGAATTAAATATTTTAAATGTTCTGAAAATTATTGTGTCTTAATGCCAATATAGTAGCAACCCGATCCGCTGGTCCTCGTATTCGGGTCATGCGGGTTGGGGTGGTACACTTAGTATGCCATTATTGCAATAGGGTAGGACATATAGCTCCCGTGTGTTTTACCAGACATAGGCATTTCACCTATAATGAAACACATAACATATTTGGTGCTAACGAAAAGAAATCCTTTGGAAAAGGATATTCGTATCATAAACAATCTCCACAGGATAATGCACAAAAGAAACCTTACTATTTCTTCTACTTTGACGAAAAGAAGAAAGTTCCCATTCCGTTACCGGAACCAACACAAATCACACAGAGATATCGGCACTCCGTTCAGGTAGACTGGAACCCGTCAACCACGAGACGATGGGTTGGCCAAGGTAACTCCTAAACAATCATCTAATCGTGTGTGTGTGTGCGTATGGAAACTAATTTTGGGTGTGTGTGGGCAATAAAGGTTAACTAACCCCCAAGGACCCATAGACATATTTTGGGTGCCCAAGTGTTGCTTTGCAGGTACATCTCGAAGTGGGGAATTCAGGGGGAACCAGTGATGGGTGGTTTATCCCATCGCTGGGAAGGAAGTATTTTCTAACCAGCAGCCCTCTTCCCATCGATGGGAACTTCTTCCCATTGCTGGGTGTTTGACACTTGTTTTTTAAAATTTTTTTAACGGATTTCCAGTAGCTGTCTTCCCATCGACGGGAGAACGTTACCATCGTTGGGAAGCCTGTTGCAGTTCAAAAATCATAGCCGTTGGGCACCTCATTCAATGCCCAACAACCATATTTTTGATCACCAAGGGCACAAATTCTCTTTTCCTATTAATATAAACCATCCTTGGTCATTTTTAACGCACAATTTACATTCCTTTTGCATACTTTAAGTCTCTACTCACTTTCTAAACGCTTCAACAATGGCCAGAGGAAAGTCGAGGACCAAAACTAAGGATTCAAAGAAGAATGCCAACACCGATGCCACGACCTCTTCTTTATTTTTTCTCCTTGTTAAATATGATTGTATTTTTATCTGTTGTATTATTCCGCATTTCCCTTTTAATGAATAAAAGTTTACTTCTTAGATCTTTTTGTTAATGTCAAAAGGGGGAAGATATATGGGTTATGCATAGATTGAGGGGGAACTTTTTCTAAGGCACAAATTGTTTAAAATATAAAAATTAACTCTTGTTCAAAACATAAACCTTGTTGCTTTTATTAAGGGGGAACATTTATTCAAAGTCTCAAAACGATCTTCCTATGCATAACCCCATCTTGTTTGCCATTATGAAAAAGGGGGAAATGGTTGAAACACGGGTTTATCGCTTTATCGTACTAAAGCCGTGATCGTTTTTTTGACAGATTTTGATAATGCCAAACCGCCGTAAATGAGACAAGTCGTGGAATATACAAGGCGAGAAATAAAGATGAGAAGAAAGAGAACAAGAGCCAAAAGAGACCAAGAACGAAGACCGTAGTCTTTAGTGTCGTTGAGTCGGTCACAATGTGATCAAGACCGACCCACACTTTGCAGTTTTTCTCTTTAGGCTAAAACATTTTTCATTGCATTTCACATATCATCAAAATGATTTTCAAACATGTTTAAACATATTAAAAACACTTGGTGTTTGACCAAACCAAAAAGCAAGCCATTTGGCGTTTGGCTTTCAGAAACCGACTTTCGGTTTTAAGAAACCGGCATTTGGCATTCGGTTATCGGCGTTGGTTTTTGGTGCCCAAACCAACCAAGTGGTTTTTAACATTTTATGATTGATTTTTACTTCTGGGAATATTTAAATAGTTCTCCAACAAAAACACTTTAAAAACCATCTTTCCTTTTTGGTCATTTGGCAAAAACCATGCAAAACGACATAAACTTGGCTAGCCATGGTTTTTGCTCAAATGACGTGGTTTTTAAAGTGTCTCACTTGATTTCTTAGCCAAATACATTAAATAAGTGTTTTAAACATTTGGTTTTTATTTTGGAGAACTTTTCATTTTTCGATCGGTTTTAGCATCGGTTGGCTAGGCCATGGTTCAGGTAAAAACCATAGGTTTTTGACTAACCATCAACCTAGCGGTGGGAAGTATTACCTTTTGATGGGTAACAGGTCCTTCAGCCCAACTGAATTCCAGAACCATGCCAAACAGCGATGAGAAGTTCTACCCATCACTGTACATGCCTTGGTTCATATAAACACAAGGCAGAATACCCTTACCCAGCGATGGGGACTTGAACCCATCGATGGCAACCTAGTGATGGGAGGGAATACCCATCGCTGGTTAGGCATGACCGTTGTGAGTCATTTAAGCCTGATTCTTTCCTTGTTTAAAAGTCAACCTCCCACCCAGCGATGGGAAGTGTTTACCCATCGATTGGTAGGTGACCGTTGCCTTAAAAACTGAAGAAAAATTGGCTTACCAGCAATAGGTAGCTCCATACATCGCTGGGAAAGCCAATCCCCTGCAGATCCATAATTTAATATCAATCCCACAATTTATGCCAATCACCCCTTTAATGACTTGATCCGTTGGAGCTTATTTTGGCACTATAAAAAGGGGTGTTTGGGTCTTCATTACACACCAATTCACTTCACATTACACATAGTATCATTGCATTCTAACAACATCATTTTCCATAGTTTTCTAGAGCCAATTTGTGTAAAGTTTGAGTTATTCTCGAGCGTATATATTGTACTCAACATCTACTCTTATAGAGAGTCTTGTTCTTAAGTGTTCTTAGTGTTGTATACACGTTAAGGGAAGCTTGTTTCTCTTGGTTGTACGAAGGAAAGGTATTTTCCTTCGGGTTCAAGTCTTAGAGTGTGGTATCTCCGAGCAAGTGTTGTTGAGGCTCGTGGGACTTGAGTTCTCAGGTTGTAACGGTTTCTTAAGCACCTGTAAGTTTAACGTGAGTATTGTAGCTCGAGAGAGTCTTTTGGGAGATTGGACTAGCCACACGTTGTGGTGAACCAGTATAAATCTTGGTGTGCTCCCTTTACGCTTTCTACGCTCTTTACTTTTCACGTTCTTATTTTTTATTCCTGCGATTTCTACGATCAAACACTATTCACCTCGCTCTAGCGTTGGTCACTAATTCTAACACATGTTGAATCGGGGTATCCACGGGCTTGTAGCCAGACAAACCAGCCACCTGAATGATATCAAGGGCATATTTGCTTTGATTAAGAACCATATTATCTGGAGGCTAGAAATGGCACATTCAATCCCTAAAAAAAAGAAACAGGCCAAGGTCCTTCAGATTGAAACAAGCATTCAAATGTGCTTTAAAGGAAGCACAAATAGCAGGATTATTTCCTACCACAAGTATATCATCAACATAAAACAAAGCAATCAATATATCTAGTCGATGACATTGTAGAAAGAGGGCATGATCAACATGAGCGTGTCAAAACTCATAACCATGCAGAGCATGACATAACTTAGCAAATCAATTCCATGGATACTCTCGCAGACCATACATACAAAGATCCTCTCAACCAACAAACCTTTCTGGGGTAAGCCCAATATAACCTGGAGGGAGGCACATATACACCTCCTCCCTTAAGAAAGCATTATTGACATCTAATTGGTGAACCTCCCATGACCTGACAATAACAACAGACAAAAGTATACACAGAGTGGATAAATTGGCCACACATGTAAAAGTGTGAGTGTAATCAATACCAAATTCTTGGTGATTAACAAGAATGACCAACCTGGTTTTTTCACATTCTTTTGTACCATCAGAACGGCAATTGGTTCTATAAACCCATTGACATCCCAACGTATAATGACAAGAGGGAACATCAGTGATGTCCCATGTGTGGGTTCTCTCCAAAGCTAGTAATTCCTTAGCCATGGCCTCGCACCATGAAGCACTTCGCACAGCCTCACGTAAATTTTTAGGCTCAGTACAAGCATTCACTGCCCCCAAATATCCTCTGTATATGTCATGTAATTTATCATAATGAACAAAATGAGTAATAGGAAATCTTTTACCTGAAACCAAAGATGAAGGAGGAGGAATGGACAACGGAGTAATGGATTTTGCAGAGTGACAGACATAATCAGCAATACGAGTGGGAGGATGACGTACACGAGTGGACTGACGAACAAAAGGAACAGAGGTATTGGGAACATCATCCACCACTAGAGTGATAATCGGTGGATCAGGAATTGTGGACGAAGACTATTTGGGTGTCCCGAACATGTAGTTGTCGACATCTGGAGATTTGGACGAGGAGGGTTCCATTGAAGAATCTAGTTGGGTGGCTGATGCGCCCGGCAGCATGGGCACCAAAAAATCTGCCAGTGGTGCCAGCTTGGGTGATGTTGACGGTGTGGTAGGGGCGACTGGCACGGAAAAGGGAAGAAAGATTCATAAAACAAAATATCCTAGGTATGAAAAATGATGATTTTCCAAATTATTGACACACCATCCCTTTATACCAAAAGGGTAGCCCACAAACATACATTTGACACTTCGGGGTGCAAACTTGTTAGATACTTTGTGACGAATGAAACACAAACACCCAAATATGAAGAGATGACTCAAACATGTGTAACCAAGTAGTGGGTTCGATCCACATATATAAATGGCTTGGTACCAATGATTTGACCATGAACTGTCCCAAAATTTTCATCATCAAGACCCATAAAAATCCATAGTCTTTTCACGTTCCAGACAGGCACGTGTAATGATAGTTGCTTCACACTTTCGCCAACCAGTCGAGTCATCACAACCATAGAGTTGATTCCAAATCATAACATACTGATTCTAGTAGGCAACCACACTCACCCTTTTGATGCAATGTTTAAACCTCACTCTTTAACTAATAAATCCACGGACCATTAAAAACACCATATCTCTTCTTCAGATCATCCCATAGTGTAAAAGCTAGGGTATGAGAAATAACACTTCTTTGAATAGATTCATCCCCACTATTGTAAATCTAACTACAAATAATTAAATGATTAGATTCCCAAGCTGCAAGTTCATGATTGCAGTCGGGTTTGGGCACCCCAATGGATGTGGGAAATTTGGCTTTTCCTCGCCCCCCAAGAGAATTCCGAATAGCCTTTTCTCAAACTTCATAATTATCACTACACAAACAATATTTGGTCAAGGAATTATGGGGATCTTTGGAAGGATGATGGTAGTACGCCGTAGATGGATCGTGGATAGGGTTTGCCTTCTTCACAGACATGGCGACAAATAGACAACATGCAGACGAGTGATGATCAAGAATTGCCGCATCGATGACTGGAAAACAGCTGTGCTGATGGCAGAAGGCTGTGCTAAGTGCTAACGAGTGGCCGCTAGACAACAGACAAGCAGATTGGAGTTACGGTGCTTGGACGAGCTTTCACAAAAAACAATTGGTACGACACTTTCGTTAGGGTTCATGATATTTCCTGAGAAAGATGCTCCGATACCATGTAGAAATTTGGAACTGAATGACTTGCCATGCTCAATAGAGTTCACTCCGTATATATACAATACAATATTTCCAAACTATCTAAGGGAACCTACATATGAACGGAAGCATAATTAATACCCTGGAGTACAAAATATACACCCAAATATATTCCAATAGAGAGGTATAAATGACGATGACTATTAGAAACACTCATAATTTTTGGAGAGAAAGAGAATGATAAGGGACAACTAACGGTGGTTAGGCACGCTCGTTGGGGTCGATGGCGGATTTTAAGAACTCGCACTATTTTTGAATCTTGAGAGGGAGAAACCTTTGCACCGATACCATGATACAAGTTAATAATAGCTAGTAGAATAATAATTATAGGTATTACAACAAATAATCGATCATAATCGTAGTAGAATAG